TATCTATCTATCTATCTATCTATCTATCTATCTATCTATCTATCTATTTGATACAGGTTAAACCTTACAGATGTTTGTCATGGAGAGGGGAAACTATAAACTATAAACATACTTGCAGACATCAGCATTCAACTATATCATTTATTTCTTTAAAAATATCACGAAAAGATTAAGCTTACTGAAATAGAATTGCCATATTGAAAAGTTTAAAAACATTGTTATTATTATTATCACTATTAGTTTGAGACTGGATCTTGCAGTATAGTCCAGGCTGTTTCTCAACTGCGACCCTTCTGCCTCATCCTCCTCAGTGTCAGGATTACAAATGTGTGCCAACACAGCTGGCATGAGATGTCTTTTTAAATGTTGTGTAAACACCATTCATTCTTGTAAACGAGTATGTTAAACACTTGTTATGCAGTGAGTACTTTGAAAGAACTTGGAAAACAATGAGTAAATGAGTTGATTTAGCATCATTAAGGTATTTACTTCATCTGGGGGACCACAGACAAGTAAATCAGATGCCGTGACTGTGAGTTTGATCAGAATGTTTGCACAACATTCTGCTAGAAAGAAATGCAAGCACTTAACCCAGACTGAAGCTTCACAGGTGGTGGTTCCTCACCTGAATCTTAAACAGAGCAATTAGGACTTATGTAAACAGGAAGGAGGGAGTGTGGAAAGGCCTAGAAGTAACAATGTGGCGGATTCTAAAACTATCAGGGCAGAGTGAACGTTTGAGATATAGCATTATGGGAAGCCTGGTAGGAAGGGTCAATGATGGGTTTGAGGGATTTGTTGGACACTCAAATAAAAACGGGGGGGGGAGGGCATAAACTTATGCATATATATTTAGATACACATAACATACATGCATACACATATTTTGATTTCGAAGGAGAGTTTTCATATATGTATGTATGTATGTATTTGCATTTACACAGTCATATGGAACCAGGATAAGATCATTTAATTAATGAGTACAGAAAAAAAAACTCAAATAAAAGGAGAGGTCGAATCTGGAGAACTGAGCTTTTAAGGAGCAAGGAAGTGTTCCTCTTTTCTATTAAAGTCAGGTTTTTAAATTCAGACAAACCCTTTGTTTCTATATATTTGTAAATCATACACACACGCACACACATACAACATACATGCACACACATACATACACATGCACGCACATGCACATATGCACGCACACATGCACACACACGAACACATGTTCATATAATTCTCAAAAGGTCACGTTTTGGAAACCTAATTCTTGAATTCATAAGTTAGTGATATTCAGAGATGGGGACTTTGGAAGGTACTTAGGACTAGGTAGGGTTGTGAGGATAGGGCCCCATGACTGCATTGGTGCTTTATGAGAAGAGGAGGGAGGGTTGAGCGAGTGCAGTTGCTCTTCTGGCCAGGCTATGCCCTCTGTAGTTGCTAGGATACGACATGAGGCCCTCATCCAGGGCTGAGCAGCTGCTGTTCATCCTCCTGGACTTCTTAGTCTCCAGAATCATGAACAAAATAAACTTCTATTCTTTATAAGTTATCCAGGATACAACATTCAGGAATAGAAACAGAAAACAACCACAGTACCATTCTTCTGAAAGCAATGGGAAGTACTAGGCAAATTATACAGTAAAAAAGAACATAGCCAATCTGATACCTTTGAAGTCCTTAAAAGATGGTCACCATGAGGGAGCAGGCTTGAAGTTAGAAAGGTATGTAGTTTGTCATCATTTGGCCCTGAGGCTTTGGACCGATTATGTATGAGTGTATGGTGGAGAAAGCCTGCTTACCTCATGGTAGCCAGAAAGCAGAAAGAAAGAACAGGAAGAGGAGACTGGAGTTGTTCTTTTCCTTTAGAGAGCATGCCCATAAAGGTTGATGGCCCAGTGATCTGCTCTTAGAGGTTCCAGCACTTAACAATAATTTCAGGGTTAGGGATATTCCAGATACAAACTGCACCCATGGGAATCTCTACAGGGGACAGAGAAATGGGAAACCCAAGGAGATACAGGGTTTTAAAATACCTAATTTTAAAAATGGGATAGTTAAAAACATTTGCAGTTTTTTATTGATTTATTGATTTTTATAAATTTTATTATAAAAAACTTGCAAACATACATATAGTACACACCAAAGTTGACTAAAAATCTATGCACTTCAATGAGCTTCTATATAGTTAGAATAAGCACTTGGCGACAGAAGCAGTGGAGGTTCACATTGAATTTTCTGTTTTTAGTGTCAAATATATTTTATGCACTCATCCACCACGCAAACCAAAAAGTTCATTCTAGAATTAGAGCTAGAAAAGCAATTAGCTTTATATTATCTTCTATAGCTCATGTATATTGATGACAATTATGAATAGGACGGGGGAAATTAGCAAATCAGGATACAGAAGGCTGTCCTTGAGTTAGCAAGAGGGTGAAAGATTAAGTAGAAACAAGAGCTTGAGAGGTAGGTGAGGACAGTGTATCCATAGTAACGGGTGGGGTAGATTGGTAAACACAGTGGTAGAATACTATGGGAATGTTATTGCTTTTTTCTAAATTTTTTTTTTTCAGAAAATAAAAACAAGTTGATAGGAGGTGGCAGATTTGAAGTTTTGCCAAGGTAAGAGAAGGTATAAAATGACTTCGTGGAATAGTGGGGTAGAGAAATGTGGTGGTTCAGTTTAGCAAAGAATCTGAATTCAAGTCAGTTTGATTGTGTGTTTGTCTCCAGCACTGGTTAGCTCTGTGGGTGCAGGCACAGACTATGGACAGAACCAGACTTAATTAGGATTGTTTTTGCCAGGTGCATAGTAGATTGAGAGATGCAAGGATGGGCTGTGTACAAGGGAAAGAAATGAAGGAATATAAATTTAAGTTGAGTAAGTAAGTAAGGGACATCATATGGGGGTTAGTCACGGTGACCATGGGATGGATCAGTGAACTGAAATTCTTAGCAGGATGAAGGACGCTGGACTTGAGGAACTGTGGTTTGCCTGTTAGATAACACCTCAGCATTGTTTCAGCATCCCTAGTGCTGATGCATCTGATAATAGGGACCGCACTTACCATGGCCTGCTAGAGTTCCCTACAAGATCTGCTTCTCCATCTCTGCCCCAAATCTCCAGTTTTCTTTTCCAGAGCTCACCCATCAGTCCTTGCTTTTCTGCTAGTTCACCTGTTTCCCTTGAACATCCCAGACAGGCTTGAGCCTTTGCATTTGATGCTTGCTCTTTCGGGAACAGTCTCTTTTCACATATCAGCCTGACTCAGTCTTGTGCTCCAAAAGTGTTTGCTCAGGTACTTTCTGTGCCTGGCCATCATTATTAACAGAAGATGACTGTCCCCATGCTTCCTAGGCCCCTTTCTGACTTTATTTTTCCATGAAGCACTTATCATACATTAATTACATGAAGTATAAGAAGCCTATATGCTCTAATTTATAGACTAGGACTATAAAGTAAAAAAAAATCTTTTGTACACTGCTTAGAAAAAATAGATCTCAGATCAAGACATTAAAAAAGATAGGAAGATATGAAAATAACTACATGACATTAACTGTAAGTGATATACAAGCGAATATTATTTCTAAGACCTACTTGTTAACGTTGACCTTGGTTCAATAGGTATATGAATAATATTAATATATTATCAAAGTTCAGCATCTTGAAAACCATTTTAAGAACTGTTTATGATGAGCAATGTCTGGCATGTAATGATCTATCTAGAGAGTGAGGATGTAGACCATGTGAACCTTTAAAGGTTATACTGGGTCCCTGGGCAGATCCCTTCCTTCCTCTGTGCTTTTCATCTGATATGAGGCAAGCCACCTTGCTCTATCACATGCTCCCTACGACGGATGGGACTCCATCTCATCCCACTCAAGCCCAGAAACAGCGGAGTCAAGTGACCAAAGACTAAAATCCTTGAAACTGGGAGCCTTCTTCTGTAAACTGTCTCAGGTAATTTGGGATGGCTGCAGCAATTCTGCAAGCAAAAGTAAGAGTAGAGAGAGTGGCAAGTGGGTGCTGTTGTAATCGGCACAGGTGAGCTCCCTGGGGTGACAGTGGGTTGTCCAGTGTTGTGGGGCTGCGGTGCTCAGGGAAGAGACAGCAAGGGGGCTATTTACTCCATTGCCAGGCCCAGTGAGAAACATGGCTGTGACAATCACCAGCCCTGGAAGTCACAGGGGGGAGTATACTTTCAAGGAATGAAAGCTTTAATAAAGCTTTTGTAAGTAAAAGGAATTTTCAGGAAAAAAAGGTTACTGAAATAGAGTGGTGTTTTAGCTCACCCCCAACACCGTATAGGTGTGACTCTATAATCCGCAGAGATAGCTTTCCGGAACTGGGGCAAAATTTGGCTCAGCAGACCTCTGGGAAGGGGAAAACCAGTGCCTGAGCAACAAGGAAGCCTTGGGACTGCTAGAGGCACTTTTTACTCTGATATACGGGCATACCCTTTCTGGGGAATTACTTCGAGGTCACCATTGTTCTTAATTCCTGTTGAAGAGAAAGAAACGGAGACATAGGAGGTTTAGGAACTTTCCCCATTACAGAGAACATTCTAGAACTCAAGTTAATGCATCAGCCCTTTTTGACAGCACAAGCTGGTGCCTGGACAAGAGTTGGCTCTAGAAAGTGTTCTGTACAAGTGGGTGTCTATGATCACCTCTCTGTGTCACCAAAATGAAATCTTATAAAAAAGAAAAGAAAGTTTGTTTACTGAACAAAGAATAGGGCTTCACTATTTATTAGTTACATGTAGCTGAAATTTTGTCTCTCTTTGTCTCTCATTCTTTGTCTCTGTTTCTCTTTCTTTGTCTCAATCTCTTTCTGTGTGTTTGCCTTATTTTTTTGGAGGCATTTCAGCTAGATGAGCTGGTCAGCAAGCCCCTGGGATCCACCTGTGTCTGCTCATCAGCACCGAGTTTACTGGTGCTAGCCTTACTTCACACAGTCTTTATGTGGGAAATCTGAACCCAGAACTTCATGCTTGTACAATAAACATGTTACCACTGATTCATCTCCTCAGTCCCTTTGTGGCCTTAAAATCATGCTCTCTGAACAAGTTTATGATGTGAGTATTCTTAGTCATGTTCATGTAGACAAGACAAGGATGTAGACACTCAGAGAGGAAAACATGTGGCTTAAAACCTATACTGTTTTTTTTTTTAAATCATACTAAGCAATGACGTTGTGGGTTCTGTTCACCCTGGGGTGGCTGTATTCGCTGTGTAGCATGGAGAAGCCATGAGGATGTTAAGGGTATTTACTCTGAGAAGATACATTAGTTCCAAGATAGAATCCTTGGATAGCCTGGAGAATACATTCATTGTTTTCAAGACGATAGCATTCATTGCATTTCAGGATGATGGTTTTACTTTTTAATATACTAAAAGAAACCGTTGTTTGGTGGCTTCATTCACATGCTCCTGTTTACATCATTGCTCATGAGTTGCCATGTCTGGAAAGGCCATCTCTTAAGGCTTTTCTTCCCACTTAGCAATTAGTTCAATGCTTTATGTACGTCTGCAAAGTCATGGCCTACGCTGGTAATTTTGCGTGAATCTTTTCATTAAAGTATTTCCCCTAAAAATCTCACACTCTGCTAATGAGACTCAGCAAACTTTGTTGCAGTCCCTTTTCACACCATACAATTTCACTTCTTCAAAGTTAACATGCACGGGCAAGGTCTTTATCACACTAGTGAATTATATAAGGACATGCTTATTTGCTTTGGTTTTTAAAACCACCCAAGGAGACAGGAAAGTGAATGTTTGGTTATTTATTATATTCCTGATGTAGTTTCTATTTCAGCATTCTGTCTTTGCTGGCTGCACCTTCACCTACTTTCTCAGCACAACTCCATAGGGGGCTGTTCGGCTTCTTGAACTATGTGCCCATCAAAGCAGAAGCCAGGAGCCAGAGACTGAGCCCAGTGCTGTCCAGAAGATGTCTCTTTTTGTAATTCTCTAGCAGATGATTTATTCGGCTGTGGCTAGCTGCTCCAATAGAGCATGTACTTCAGATAGTAAAGCAACACTGGTCCTGAGATGTGAGATACTGAAAGCTGAACCTTTGGGTTGCTTTCCTCTATATGATGTTATATTCACAAATCACTGGTTCCATGAGTGATGTAGAAAGTGATATACTTAAGCCCAGGACACTGGGTCCATTGGGAAACCAGCCCTGCCTACTAGCGTTAGGTGCCCCAGTGGCTTTGTTCCTCCAGGAGCATTTTGCCTACTGCTTAACAAAGCTCAGCTGAATGTTTTCAGGTACCCAGAGTACATGGAGAAAGCTAAGCAACCTCTGGGTTGGGGTTACAGTTAGGGTTTGGGTTAGGGTTAGGGTTGGTGGATCTGGGTTAGCATTGGGTGTTAGGGTTAGGGTTTTAGGAGTTAGTGTTATGCTGAAGACAAACCCTACTTTTGGCACTAATCGGAGAAGCTTCTCTTTGCAGTAAATGATGGTGAATGCGGAGATTCACGACTGCTCCATATGTTAAGAGTGAATAGTGACTGAGTATAGCTCTAAGTAAGAGTTTAATACCACCATCTCTGAGACTCACAAAACATCTCCAAAGAAGACAGAAAGAATACATGGGTTTGAAGGTGAGAGAAGGGCTATGAAATGCCATCTTTTGGGCATAACAAAAATGTTGCAATCATGAACTCAACAGCAGCTGTGGTTACCAGCACCGGATTTGCATGACTAACCCTGTCTACAGTCAGTCCTATGTGAGAAAGGGCCTCATGGGGCTTTATAGCTCCTTGTTGTATTATTGGATACTGGAAGATCCAGGGAGAAGGAAAGTCATTGTCTTCACTTGTGTACCCACAGGGTTGTCTACTAGACCCCAGTGCATAGTACCAAACCCATAGGCATACAGACAGCCCTGGTCAAACTAAGTGAATCCTATTACAACAATCATGACTGTGGGAAATGGATTAGAAGGGAGGTACAGGGGTTGATGGAGGTGGGAGGGAGGTGTAAAAGGAGCAGTGGGCTGTGTCCCACCACCTGGCTCCTGGCTAGCTTTATCCGAAATAATTACATGGAAACTGTATTCTTATAAACACTGCTTGGCCCATTAGTTTCAGCCTCTTCTTGGCTAACTCTCACATCTTGATTAACCCATTTCTAATGATCTGTGTAGCACCACGAGGTGGTGGCTTACCAGGAGGATTCTAACCTGTGTCTGTCTCGGAGAGGAGAGTCATGGCGACTGCCTGCCTCTGCTTTCTTTCTCCCACAATTCTGTTCTGTCTACTCCACCCACCTAAGGGCTGGCCTATCAAAAAGGCCAAGGCAGTCTCTTTATTAACCAATGAAAGTAACATGACCCTTCTCCATCAGGGAGGTAAGAGATGGTGGGGGTGGAAGTAATCAGAATGCATTATATGTGTGCATTAAATTGTCAAAAACAAGTTTAAGTAATAGGCGATTGATAGGTGATCAGTTGAGGTAAAATTCACTTGTTATCATCTATATCCATTTAGCATGTAGAGTATCATCCACAAACACATACACCCATGAGATATTGCTTCAATCAGCTCACACAGCACTGTTCTCAACCCTAAAGATTTCTGCAGGCCACACTGCAGACCGGCAGCTGTCTCCTCCTCTTGTCCCCAGAGAACTGCTCTGTTTTCTGTCTTCCCAGGTCAATTAGTATTTTCTAGCTATGTATGTAAATGGGACACTTTTCCGCATCTGGCTTATTTTATGTAGGACAACGATGTTGGGATGACAGGTGATATATATATATATATAATTTATTCTTCTATTGTGTCTTATTTCTTTGTTCCTCCTTTCTTTCTCTTTTGGGGTCATTTGATTGTTTTATTTAGAATTCTGTTTGTGTCTATCTCTTGGTCTTTACACACTATATCTGTGTTATTTTTTGATAATGTCCCTAGGTATTAGATTCTACCTCTGAGAACATTTTCAGATTTCTTCCTCTCACTTCCAAAGCTGCCACTATTTATTTATTTATTTATTTATTTATTTGCTTGCTTGTTTATCCATCTATTTATTTATTGCTGTGATTTTTGTTATCCTTATTGGAGCTGAAGCCAGTGAGCTGTCCTTTGGCTGGCACAGTCAGGCTTGACCAATAGAGGGCACTAGAGGCCTGCAGTCTGTGGCAAAGGCAAGGACCTCTTTTTCTGGCTCTTGGGTTCTTCCTTCTGTGTGGTTGCCAGCATAACAGCATGGAGAGGATTCAGAAGCCCTCAGCCCCAGAGAATGTTTCTGCCAAGGACTTTCCCTGCTGCCTAGCTCAGGCCCTCTGGTGTCCTAGCAGGCCACGTCCTGGGCACCAGCTGCAGCTAGCTTGCATGCTTTGCGAGTTTCTCAACCCTCCAGTGGCTTTCTTCACAGAGCACTGTATTCCACACGTGCCAGCCAATTTCTTTGTTTCTGGAAGGCTGCGTGTTCCTGTGGTGGCCACAGAGCCTCTAATGAGGTCTTAATCTCAGCCTCAGAGGGAGAAGGGTTCTTCTGAGCTCTTACCAATTACTTGTGTGATCTCTCTCAGCCCTGGAGCTAATTACTATCTCCCAAGTTTGTTATGCCTTAAAGCCCACCTCTAGGCGTTTACAAAGTTAAACACATTTTTCTGATTATTAACTTTTTCCTATTACATTTTCTCTGTTTAGATAACTAGAGTCTACTATTTGTCTAGACCTTGACAGATATAGCATCCTTAGCTGTTTACAAGAAATGCAGTATTAGCAGAGTGCACAACCACTCCTCTTTATATTATTCCTGTCACATCTATTTCATTGAAGGAGCACTTCCAATTTACTGCGTCTCTTCACTCCTTAGTTTCCCCCAGCCCCGTTTCTTTTAAGCCTGGAGGTTGCCTAGCATTTCTCAGTGTGCAGGCATGCTGAGTTCCATGCCCCGACATCCTTATTGGCTGTCTCTACTTGCCGGGATGCTGCCTTCATCCTTGAGGGCTGTTTTCACTAGGTATCAAACTCTGGGTTGCTGTGGCCTGTGGTTTTGGACAAGAAGTTAGAAGTCACTTGAGGGTTGATGAGATGGCTCAGCAGGTAGAGGACCTTGTACCAAGCATGATGATCAGTGTTCAGTCCCTGGAAACCATAGGCTAGAAGGAGAAAACTGACTCCCACAAGCTTCCATGCACTTCCATGCACGTGCGCACACATTCGTAGACATGCACACAAAATAAAAAAAATAAATGACTACATTTTTAGCAGTTTTATTATATACCGCCCAAGCACATTTTCCTTAGCAGTTTTTCAAGAGGAGGGTTTTTCTCCTAAGAAATGTGTACATTAATAGAGCTTTATTTGAGTAAGAATTCTATACAAATACAATATGCACCTTACAGAGGAAATCAAGGAAGAAACATATTATGGCACACAGACCTTTTGGGGGATTCAACCAAGTTGCTCAGGCCAACTATTTATTTTGATGACTATTAGACTGTTGAAATCAGTGCATCTGCTAGCAGCCACACCAATTCAGTCATTTGATGCACATCTAACTATTCCCAAAGGAAAATATGACACAGCATTCGGTTCACAGGAGCTGAAGTTGTGGGTTTAGTGGTGCTAACTTAACATTTCTGCTAACCCACTGCACTGTCTCATCAAGGTCAGGACCTTCGGTTGCCGATGTTTTGAATATTTGCTATTTTGGTTTCATTATGGCTGATAACTGAATGCACTTGCCATTTCTGAGGGTGCTATGGCCCACACAGTGTCCCGTGTGCTTGTAAACATCACCAAACACGGCCCTTCTCAGTTCTCTTTCTCAATGGAATCTAACTCTCCTTAGAAGTGCCAATTATGTCTTGGTCATGGTTATCCACTACACAGACAACTGTATCTATGCTTGAGTTGAAACATCTCCACCGTGGTCTGAAGCTGACCCGTCCTCCTAAGGTACCAAGTTTGGAATTAATATTTTTAAATGTCACCACGTCTACATTAAATCCAAAGGTAGCAATAGTTATAATGAATTCTGCAACATGTAACCCAGCTCCATGTAATCCTCATATTAAACCTACATTTCTTTAATACCACTGGAAAAAATTGCAGAAAAAGCCACATACATGATAAGCCATTGATCTTCTCTGCTGAACCTCAAAGAGAGGCCAGGCTCCCTACCTCCTATTACTCCAGCTTCCACTTTGAGGTAGTCTTCTTGAAAGCCCAGTCAGCCAGCGACTTCCATGTTATACTTGCTTGTTTAGTTTTATTTGTACTTGTAATAGAGTTTGCTGAACTTCTTGAATGTGTAGATTTTTCTCTTCCAAGCAACACCTGTCCCCAGTCCCCTCTAGAAGAGGGAAAGAAGCGGGAAGATTGCTCATTGGAAATGATGGCAGCCACCAAGACTGAAATATTCTCATGCTGTCTCCCTTCTATCCTACTTCTGAAGGTAAATTAGACTAAGATTGTCTCAAAAACCCATTGAGTCTTTTGATCTCCTTTCTTGATCTTTTATTTCATTGCCTTTCTTTTTTTATGGTCATTGACGCTTTTATTTGGTTTATTTTGATATTAAGGGCATCCGAAAGATTAGCCATTTTAAGATGCATAGTGGTTTTCATTTCTAACATTCCTATTTGGTTCTGTTTGTGTCTGCTGCTCTTTGGTGACACATTCCTTCACTGGGAGGCCATTTCCTTCACTTCAATGAGCGTCGTCGTAATAGCTGAGCTCAAGTCCTAATCTCAGTCCAATGTCCAGTCTTTCCTTTCAAAGCAAAATATTCACAGTTGGTGCTGCTGCTTGTGTTCCTGAAGCCTCCGTGGCTGGGCAGAACCCTACAGAAAGCCATGTCTTTTGGAGTGAGGGCCCTTTCAGCCTCCAGTGAACTTGAAGGCGTTAGCTCCTTTTCCCTCTGAACAGAGAAATGACAGATTTTTTTCTCTCGGTAGTCACCAGATACCAAGGACACTCTCACAGCTCACCCCTGGACCAGAGCCACGAAGGGAGAGAACACATCTGGTATCAATCCTGTCTCACAATTTTCAGCTTCCCTGTGAATGCTGAGGCTTTGAATCCTCTCTTTAGAGCAATCAGTGAGTATTTTAGCATTAAGGGCAAGATTTATAGTAGTCATTTTCTTTTCTTTTTTTTTTTTCCTTTTGGTTTTTCGATACAGGGCTTCTCGGTGGAACAGTTCTGGCAGTCTTAGAACTTACTCTGTAGACCAGGCTGGCCTCAAACTCTTGTATCTGCCTGTCTCTGAGTCGGGAGTGCCAGCAATAAAGGTGAGTGCCACCTCTGCCTGACTAGAGTGGTCATTTTCTAGAGCTCAGCCTGAAGGGAATTGTGCCTCTGTCTTCAGAGACACCTCTCTTACTACCTGTCATTATCTGGGTAAAAGGTAGGAATCTCAGTCCATAAAAATAGCTGGGTAGCAACCTGAACATTCATCGTCCATAATTTTATTTTTACATGATGCTCCAACCTCAGGCTTGGTTTGCAGTTCAGGGTCACGTGACACACCATAAACATGGATCTAAAGGGAACACTACTGGACTCATCTCTTGTCCCTGTGTATGTGATCCTATCAAATCATTTGGCTCTCTGTTAGTCCTAACTGCACTGGTGTGGCTACCTCACTTCCAGATGCTGAGCTGTCATTTCCTCTGCAGGGTCTTCAGCTCCTTAGTGGCTCCACAGAGACGGAGACCTGGGCCCCTCCTCTCTCAGACCCTCAAATCTCTTTCTTCGCCTGTCTTTCTCTGAGGAGCGCTTCCTTGATCTAGGCTTGAGCAAATTCTTTCTTCAAGTTTCTTAGTGACAGACTGACTATTGTTTTCTTGTGAGGTCTGATGTTCTTTTAAAAAGTTAGAATTCTGGAGCATCATAGCCAGAAAGATATATGAACTGCTTTTGTTTCTAGCAGGTCAAATGTTTCCACTGAGGTTACGAGTTCAGAGCTGGCCAAGAGCTTACATAAAGCAGAAGGAGAGAGGCCAGGCAAAGAGAAAACACGAGAGGGGGAAAATCCCATAGCTTGATATCATAGACAATGATTCAGATAAAAAATATTTTAATTATCTCTCGGTCCCTAGCATGTATCCTAGTGTCTGGCATACGGTGATTTTGTATTAAATAATTATTAAATGAATGAGCTAATTTCCCATATAAAACGAAGGGACCTCATGACATATAACCTCTGTCTTCTGAGCTAGAAAATAGGAATGCTACTGCTGACGGTGTTATCCAAGGATTAAATGGCAGTATGCCCTCTTTGTAAAGATGTTTCTAATTGGGATGTTTTATTGCTGTTGTTATGAATGTTTGCTGAGCTGAGCTGGAGCGTGGCATCTCTGTCTAAACCCCTGTGATTCCTCAGACCCAGCCAACTGGAAATATGTATTCACAGCCCCTACCTCCACCCCCACATCCAGAGAAAATGTACAAATTCATTGTATTTTTGATGTTCTCCACATTATTTACCCCCCTGATGACAGCTTTCTTGTCAGTTTGCGTGATGGTCGCTGGGTGCTGCTAATCGATTTTGGATTAGATTCCCCTCAGTATGGAATGACTAGCAAGCCCTGGGCAAGGGATGTTAACATCGTTCTCCATCTTTAAGGCCTGCTTTGACTATGTGCATGCATGTGACTATGCATGACTATGTGCATGCTTTGCTTAGAATTGAAACTGGATTCTAGTCGCAGGATGTATTAATGTACATATGGTAAGTACTTTCCGTTTGTTTATAGCAAGGTTTTTTTTTTGTAGAATGCCTGATGTAAAATGAATGAACTTATGTCTCTGTTGAAACATTGATAAATGGGTGTCTTAGTCAATGTTCTATTGCTGTGAGGAGACACCATGACCATGGCAACTCTTATAAAGGAAAATATTTAATTAGGTATGGCTTACAGGTTCAGAGGTTTAGTTTCTTATTTTCATGGTGGGAAACATGGCAGCATGCAGGCAGGCAGGCCTGGTGCTGGAGAAGGAGCGGAGAGTTCTACGTCCAGTCAGCAGGCAGCAAGATGAGGCAGTGAGCCACTAGACCTGTCTTTAGCATTTGAAACCCTAAAGCCCATACCATGTGACACATATCCTCCAACAAGGCCACACCTCCCTATGGGCATATGAGCTCATTTTCATTGAAACTACCACATTTCATTTCCTGGCCCCATAGGCTGGTAGCCATATCATAATGCAAAAAACATTCAGTTCAATTTCAAAAGTCCCCATCTGTAGTCTAACACATTCTCAATTCTGTTTAGAAGTTCAAACTAAAAGTCTCTCCTGAAACTCATGGTGGTCTCTCAATTGTAACTCCCTGTAAAATCAAATTGAAAAGCAGATTACACACTTTCAATATACAATGTTCATTACCAATCCAAAAGGGAGGAAAGGGAGCATACTTAGGAAATACTGGACCAATGTGAGGCCAAAACCAAGCTAGTCAAACTCCAAACTCTGCATCTCCATGTCTGGTGTCAAAGCACTCTTCAGATCTCCAGCTCTTTTCAACTTTATTGACTGCAGCACATGTCTCTCTCCAGGGTTGGTTCACCCCCTGTTAACAGCTCTCCTTAGCAGGTATTCCACTATTCTGACATCTTGAACATCTTGGGGTCTCCAAAGTAATCCAGGCTTCACCATCACAGCTTCACACAGTGGCCTTTCTAGGCCACCATACAGGGACACCCCTGACACATACCTGGCCTCAGAGGTTTTCCTTAGTCGGAGAGGAAAATTTCATAGCGCCTTTCTTGTATCTTCGACTTTAAAAGTAGCAGCACGTGGTAGAAGTTGCTGAGTTCTGGTAGGTGGGGCTGGAACATGGTTCCCTCATTCAAATACATTTTCACAAGCTTTTTGTTTTCCAGGTTTTTTTTTTTTCACTGCCTAAACTTGGCTCTTCTGGAACTTGCTCTGTAGACCATGCTGGCCTTGAGCTCAAAGATCTACCCAACTCTGCCTCCCTGGGATCAAAGGTGTGTACCCCCACAGCAAGTTCTAAGCTTTTTCTTTAACTTCTTTTCACAAGTTGGAGGCTTAGCTGAACTGGGTCTTACTCTGAGGTCACCACTCCCATCATACCATTTAATATCAGGCTCTTTAAATCCGTTGTTTTTCTAAGCACTGGACTTCTCAGCTCCATTATATTTCCTAGTTCTTCTTTTCTCCTCAAGCTGTACATTTCCTAGTTTTCCATGCTCAACCTGCTCCTTTTCATTATATAACTGCATAAGACTGGTCACTAATAACCAAGCAACACGGTCAATACTAGGCTGTTTTGAAATCTCCTCTACCAACACCATTAATCCAAAATTCTTCACTTTAGCCTCAGGCAGGCTTTTTGAACAAGAGCAAAAAGCAGCCACAGTCTTTGCCAAAATATGAGAACAGAACAATCTCTGGGGAAGTTACTAATAGTCTTCTCTGAAACCTCTTGAGCTGGGCTCCGCAATTTAAATCACTCTCAGCGCACTGTCTTCCATGTTCCTACTAACATGGCCCATTAGCCCTCACTTAAAGTTTCCAACCATTTTTCTAGTACAAGGTTCCAAAGTGTTCCATATTCTTCTAAACAAAATCATGGTCAGGCCTATCACAGCAACACCTCAGTCCCTGGTACCAGCTTCTGTCTTAGTGTTCTATTGCTGCAAAGGGACAGCATGATCACAACAACTCTTATAAAGGAAAACATTTAACTGGGCCTGGCTTATAGGTTCAGAGATTTAGTTTATTATCATCATGACGGGTATCATGGTAGCATACAGGTAGGCATGGAGCTAGACAGGCAGCTGAAGAGTTAGTTCTACATCTGGATTGTAAGGCAGCAGGAAGAGAGAGCCACTGGGCCTGCCTGGCTTGAACATTTGAAATCCCAAGACCCACCCCTAGTGACACACTTACTCCATCAAGGCCACACGTACTCCAACAAAGCCTCACCTCCTAATGCCTGTCAAGTAGTACCACTCAATAATGACTAAACATTCAAATACAGGAGCCTATATGGGCCATTTCTATTCAAATGACCACAGTGGGCCAAATCACTTATTAAGAATTTCTAATGTTTGATGTTCTTTGCATTTTGAAAGAGTATTACTTATTTCTAGCAAACTCAGCTGTAGGAAGGACTAGCTGGTACCTAAGTCTCGGTATCTCCCAGGAAGCTCCTCAGACATGACAGATTGCACATGAAGAATCTTGTACCATTTGCAACCTGCCTTTGCCAAGTTAATGGATGGACCTAGAAAAGACTATACTGAGCGAGGTAACTCAGATCCTGAAAGAAAAACACCACACGTTCTCTTTTATTTGAGGTTTATAGGCCCAAACCTTCAGATGGATGTGTACTTATCACCCCCTCATCAGAGAAGCTTCTCTTCACAACAAATGGAGATCTTCACAGGAAACCACAGCTGAATACAATGCAGAGATCATGGCGAGCCCAGCTTCAATGGACACATCTACAGTACCGCTCCTGCATCTATGGCTGAGGGGACATTACAAGTGAGTGTGGAAAGATTATAAGAGCTAAAATACCAGAATACCAAGAGTCTGCTCTGGAATGGTTTCTTCTAGAAATGGTTACGCAAACAGGGCTGGAACAGGGTCAATATCAACAGGGATGCTAATACAAATAAGGAAAATATCACAAGGTCCCACCCCTAGATAAAGAACTCTGGGCAACTAATGACTGCTGAGTTGGGGGGGAGGTGATAGGGGAGTTCAGCCAATCATATTCTGTTTTCGGGGCGTGCCGCCCTCAGGCAAAAGCCTGCCTATAAACCTTGCAAACGTGCTCCGCTAGCCCTCTTTTCGCCTGGCTCTTGTGTCCGGACGAATCGGTTGGATTCTGGTGTAAGCTGTTGTAAGTCTTACTTCTGTTTATTAAAGATATATATTTTGTGTCAAGATAGTCTGGGGACTTTTCTTTACCAATCGCCCTGCAGCTTCAGGGAGGGACGAGAGAGAAAGAGAGGATAGAGAGTTAGCCTCACCTAGTACTGAGTCCTGAAACCATATACACACAACAACAAAAGCGCAAGACTCAGAAGGTTGCATTCATATATTTTGTATACTTACACATATATAAGAGAGAGAGAGGACTGGCCCAAATAGTCAAATTCTAAGAAACAACTTGTATTGGCAGACAGAGAGCAGGGGATGCAGAGAAAGGAAACCAACAACAGAGCTGTGTATCCAGCCCAGTGTTCCACTCAGCAGATGTTGAATGTGAGTGACCATGAGTTGGAGAACAGGAGCTAGGGTCACTTCCGCAGACTCAGCTGCCGAATCTCTTGCATGGGGAATCATTCTAGAATTTAAGTCCCCAGTCTTCCCACTGTGTGGTGCCTCTGCATAGCTGTGTTGGCTCATCTTGACATTCAAGGGATGAAAGCCATCTCCCCCTGTGGCCCAAGAAGTCAATTTGGTTGGAACTACTGAGAAGGTGTCTACAGATCTCTAATTCTGCACTTGCCCAGGAAATTGACAAGAAAGCCCTGACCGTACATAATCCTTCCTTGACAAAGGCAGCTGTGTGGTTAAGGGCAGCTCCATTTTTCTTTTCTCACTGAGGAGCAGGATAAAAGCAATTCTTATCCCACTTTGAGTGTGAATAACTTAACAGACTCAAAGTTGAGAACATGTGGTATGAGTCACTGTGGTTTCTTCTTACACTGTAGGTTAGCCCCTGGTATCTGAGGTCCCTACTTCTTCAGACTTAACCAAACACAGATCATAGATATTTAAATGTATACGTGTTCTCATTATTATTCTCCAAACAATATAGCCTAACATTCAGTCATAAGTGATTTACATTGTGTGAGGAATTATAAATAATCTAGAGGAGGTTTAAAATCTACCTATGATTTTAAACACATTTGGTCTACAAATACTATGCCATGCTACGCGAGAAACTCATGAAACCCTGAGGTTTGGTGTCCCAGAGGGTCCTGGAACCAACCCACTACAGATATTGAGGTTCTATTTGAGAGTGGAGTTGGTTAGATTGCTTCTGAAATCTTTTACTGTTTGGACTGCAGATTTTCTGCTTGTATTTTGCTGTGTCTGTCACAAGCCTTATTTAATTTCATTTATTTTTTCAGTGTGAATTTTCCCTATACACAAAAGAGACAGGAGGTGGAAAGCAGCTGAAATGCCCTCAGAACTCTCCCAGTATTGTCTAATGATTAGATGAGAAGTGAGGTCTCCGAGATTTCCTTTCCAATCAAGTTTTCCATTAATGAAGAGATTGACTTATTCCCTAGTTTAAGCTCTTGCCGACATCAGTAGGCTGCTATGTTATGGGTAGCAATAAGTAATTAGTCCTATGACAATAGACAACCCTCTCTAATTTTTAGTCAATATCTTTGTAGAAGTCTAGAGACAGGATGGTGAAAACCACCTCAGGCAGTATCTGGGCTCTGGAAGGTTTTGCTGTAACAAGCTGAGACAGAGTCCATCAGGAGTGGAACAGGTTTTTCTTTATATTTCTGCTGAAACTATTTTGGTGAAGTCTTTCAGAGGACAATAGTTCAACTTCAGCCCATTGTTCTGACTTCTTCTCAGGAGCTCTGCTTCCCCCGAGTTTTATCAAACTGATTTATGACTTATTTTGGTCTGAATTAGGATAAAGATGGCCAGTCTGAATTCTAAGGGAATGTTCTCGGTATCAGTAGATTTGAGAGAAGCAAATTTGGATTGCTCTGTCATGTAAGCTGGTGGAAGCAAGTAGAGGATTAGACACTGGGAATCAGGGTGTGCATGTGTTCAGCAAGGTAGTGTGGTTCCTGTAATCTTCAGCTCTTTGCAGCTGTGTTATTTTGAAAGAGTGGGGTCCTAGTCATCTCTTCTTATGCTTGTCATAGAAATATCCACACATAGGCATATAAGACTTTGCCTCTCCCATTCTAAACTTGTAGAATGGCACATATTTCTGAATTTGTTATGACTAACCGTAACTGAGAAAAGAAGCTATGTCCAAAAACAAGTTGGACAGATGTCACAGGTGAAGACATGGGTCCTGAAAACTTGCCTCTGTGGCATTATAATCTCCCTGCTCGTTCTCTGTGGTTCCAGTACTTACCTCATAGAATTTACATCCCCATACATGGTTATGGTGTTTGAAGATGGAGCATTTTGGGGGGTAATTAGGGTTTGATAGAGTCATGAAAATGGGGTTCCTGTAGCATTTTATAAGAAGAGGTGGACATTTGAGCTCTTCTTACCTTGTGTTGCCCTCTGCCATGTTATAATAGAGCAAGAAAGCCCTCACTAAGTGCCTACACTATAGCATCTAGACCAATAAGTGAAATAAACCTAAGCTCTTTATAAATCACTTGGTCTCATGTATTTTGTTATAGGAATTAAAAATGGACCAGGGCAGTATTACCATCCCCTGTGTTGATTTACCGTGACTATCCATGACCCATGATGTCCCTGCTGCCTAAAATCTAGGCATGGGTGAACTTCCAACCCAAGTTCTTGATTAGGCTGGATTAGAAGAACACAGGACATGTGAGGAGAGAAGTGGCAGATAGCTGTACCATGTCCTCTACTGCCCACTGACAAGAGGAAGATGGTGTTGTGGGATATTTGTATACTGTGTAAAGGTATATTGCTGTGCTTGCTGCAATAAAGATCTGAATGCCAACAGCTAGGCAGGAGGTATAGGTGGGACTTCTTGTCAGAGGAAAAGGAGGAAGATGAATATACATGCATGGAGAAGCCAGGGACACTGAGAGGAAACAGGAGGTGCAAGATGGAAGAGAAGTAACACCGTGTGATAGAATGCAGATTAATATAAACAGGTTAATTTAAGTTATAAGAGCTGGTTAGGAATAAACCTAAATTACAGGCTGAGCTTTCACAATTAATAAGAAGTCTCCATGTCATTATTTGGGAGCTGGTTGGTGGAACAGAAAAAGACTTGTTACAAGACAGTGTTTGACATTCCCATTAAGCCCCCTGATGGCCCAGTCCCACTGAACTTGCCCCACTGAACTCCTGCTTCTTAGGCAAATTAAACTTTGAGTCCTATGACAGAAATTTTATCAGACTTATTCAGGAATGAAGAGAGGAAGAGACTTGACAGTGTTTTCAGCTTTTTCTGGGTTACTTCCTTGGGAAACCCTGATGATATGCTTAGAGGCTGAAGAAAAGCTCCAGATATCCAGAGTCATCACTAAAGTTGGGAGTGTCTCCTTCTCTGACTTCACACAGACTTAAATAAAAGACTTCTTTAATGTTAGGGACACTACCCCCCCTCCCCTTAGTGAAATGTCATGAGTATAAAAAATGAAGGCTCCCTTGCAATGAAGTTAAAGAACACAAACCTCAAACTACTAAAAGGAAGAAATATAGAGAAACAAGGCAAACATTTTGGGGAGAAGAATGTGGGTGACAGAGATGAGGCCAAGAGCAGAGAGAGCAGCAGGGACAAGAGGGCCCTGAGAGACGGACTCAGCAGAAATCCAGAGGGCAGGCCAAGTGATGGGTGTTCTTCAGGCTCTGAGCAATGTCTCTATGAACTGTTTCCTTTAGATACAGCTTTCTGTTCATTTAAATGGTGGAATTTGAGCTCTCAAATCCTAACGAACTGATTAACCAGAATCAGTTCTATAATTGCTATTTATTTTTAATCTTCTAAATGCAAAAATGTTCACCTGACCAGATGGGAAAATGCTGATAGCTGGAGTGGCCACTATGGAGCAACTTGCTCACCTTATTATGAAGGGGAGGGGAAAGGAGGGTCACATTTCTTAAATGCCTATTTGCTATGGACAGTTATATTTGTTTTAATAAGTTTTAATAATAACAAAAAACATAAATTATTTTAGTTCATAATGAAGGCCTTAAACTCAATTTGGAGCCCAAAGGCTCAGCTATCTGAATTTCACTTTAGAAACTGCATATACAACACAGGTGACCCCAAAACAAAAAACAGCTTCATTTTTTAAAAAAAGATTATTTTATTTATTATGTGTACAGTGCTGTGTCTGCATATTTGCCTGCAACCAGAAGAGAAAATCAGATTTCATTACAGATGGTTGTGAGCCACCACATTGTCGCTGAGAATTGAGCTCAGGACCTCTGGAAGAGAAGTCAAGTGCCCTTATATCTGAGTCGTCTCTCCAGCCTCCCCACTTTAAACATAATTTCTTTATTGATTCTTTGAGAATTTTACATCATGCACCTAATTTTGCTCTTTTCTTAGTTCCCCATATCTGCCCTTCACCCTTGTAGCATCTCCTAAAAAGAAAATAAAATATTAAAATAAAAAACAAAATATAACAAAACAGAACAAAAAAACCTTTTCTCCCCTCTGCCTTTCCTGCCTCTCCAACACCTCTTCATTCATCTTAGTGGCACTGGGACCCGAGGTGAGTCCCCCAGTATATACCCTTTGGTCCAATCAGCTTCATCTTTATTTGTAAGTGCTCACTGCAGTGAGTCATTGGTCAAGCTCAAGGTCCCTGGTTTCTGGTACACCATCATCACTGGATCACCACTGAAATGCCTTTCAGGTATTCTGTGACCACCCAAAGTCATAGAGATACTTCCGGTATTGTTCCACAGAACCAGTCTCTTCACACACTCCAACAGGTCATTCATGGGATAAATATATGGGTGGAGGCCTGAGTGGTAGCTGAATTGGTCAGTCCAGGCCACTCGGGCCACCTCCCTCTGGTGATGGGTGAAGCCAGCTCTCCTACATCCCTGCCACCTGGGCCAGTTCTCCCATGCCCATGAGG